CCATGAAAGCCAGGTGAAGGCATTGAGTAGGGCCCTACCAAATTCACGGCCATGAAAAGCACGTCATGGACCGTGAAATGTGGTCTTTTGTGTGCTTTTACCCTATACTATACAGATTTCACAGGGGAGACCAAAGTTTCTCAAATTGGGGATCCTGACCCAAAAGGGAGTTGCAGGGGGGAAACAAGGTTATTTTAGGGGGGGGTCATGGTATTGCCACCCTCACTTCTGCACTACCTTCAGAGCTGGGCGGCTGGAGAGCAGCAGGTGGTTGCTGGAAAGCAGTGGCTGTTGGCTGGATGCCCAGCTCTGAAGGCAGCACCCCATCACCAGCAACACAGAAGGAAGAATGGCAATATCATACCACCGTTACTTCTGCACTGCTGCCTTCAGAGCTGGGCAGCCGGAGAGTGGCAGCTGCTGACTGAGGGCCCAGCTCTGAAGGCAGCAGCATGGAAGTAAGGGTGGCAATACCATACCGTGCCATCCTTACTTCTTCGCTGCTGCTGGCGGCCGCTCTGCCTTCAGAGCTGGGCTCCCAGACAGTAGCCGCCGCTCTCCAGCTGCTCAGCTCTGAAGGCAGCGCCACCATCGGCAGCAGTGCAGAAGTAAGGGTAGCAGTATCGCAACCCTCCCCTACAATAACCTTGCGACCCTCCTCCCCCCAACTCCCTTTTGGGTCAGGACCCCTACAATTACAACACCCCGAAGTTTCAGATTTAAATAGCTGAAATCATGAAATTTACAATCCTATGACCGTGAAATGGACCAAAATGGCTTGTATTTTGGTCAGGCCCTAGCAATAAGGTAGTAGAAGCCAGAACTTGGACTGGATATAAAGGCCAAAAGTTTTAGGTTCACTACATCAGTGACTACCAGGACAGGCAATATATCTTTTGACATCACTTATAGCTAGAAAACGCACCAAGAAAACTACAGAATAAAACACAATTGTCCTTCACCTTGTGCCAGTCTAACCTTATTAGCACAGCCTCAAAACAGAAAACACGTTCAGCAAAATCCTGCTAGCCCAGTAAGGCTTGCATAGTTGGAGTGGATGACTTCAAAGAAATCTCCCAATTTTGATCAGCCACCTTAACTCTTGTATGGGGTTCTCAGGGATACAACTAAAAAAATTACACTAGGGTAATACATAATAATTTGCACTTGTATAGCACCTTCCATCTGGCAATCTCAAAACATCTTACAAACAGGAATGAATGAAGCCTCAACACACTCCAGTGAGTTGGGAAGGATTAGCCCCAGGATGGGGAAACTGAGGCATGGAAAGGCAAAGGGATGATTTTCAAAAGTGGCCTCAGTTTTCTTGGTGCCCATTTGAAGAAGTGCTGAGAACCCACACAAACACCAGTTGAAACCAATGGGAACTGCAGACATAAGTGATCACACTCCTGCCATCCATCTCCACCCTCTGACAAACAGAGGCTAGGGACTCCATTCCTTTCCCATCCTGGCTAATAGCCATTAATGGACTTAACCTCCATGAATTTATCTAGTTCTCTTTTAAACCCTGTTATAGTCCTAGCCTTCACCTCCTCAGGCAAGGAGTTCCACAGGTTGACTGTGCACTGTGTGAAGAAGAACTTCCTTTTATTTGTTTTAAACCTGCTGCCCATTAATTTAATTTGGTGGCCCCTAGTTCTTATATTATGGGAACAAGTAAATAACTTTTCCTTATTCACTTTCTCCACATCACTCATGATTTTATAATCTGCAGGTACTCAGCACCTCCAAAAATCAGGCTTTACTGTAGGCTGCACACCCATCTTACCTGAGGCTGAGCACCCAAACATTCTGATGCCCAAATTCAGAGGCCACAATTAAAAGTTCGCCCCTAGGTGATTTATCCAAGGTGCAGTGGGCCAGTGGCAGAGACAGAAGTCCAGCTGGTTAGTTGCTAGCTGACTACTAGCCCTAGCCCTCATGAGAGTCATGAGGATCAATTAGTTAATACTTGCAAGGAGCTATGAAGATTAAAAGTGCTAAATGTTATGATGATGTGGATGGGTGGCAGTGACATCTCTAGAGCCAGACTTCTGCTGAAGCTGCTGACAGCCTCCACCTGCCAGATCCCTCGGCAAGCTCTAAATAATAGAGCTTCTATCGTAACCTGCAGCTATTTTGATGTATTAACTGTGGCTTTTATTATAAACTCCTTATGTGCTCTGCAGAATGCTAAATCGGTTTCATTTCCATGGCTCTTTGCCATATCCAGCTACGAGTCAAAGTGGCTCTTCAGATGTTAAAGCAGGGGTTCTCAAACAGGGGTTCTCAAGGAGTCACGAGGTTATTACATGGGGGGTTGCGAGCGGTCAACCTCCACCCCAAACCCTGCTTTGCCTCCAGCATTTATAATGGTGTTACATATATAAAAAAGGGTTTTTAATTTATAAGGGGGGGTCGCACTCGGAGACTTGCTATGTGAAAGGGGTCACCAGTACACAAGTTTGAGAACCACTGGGTTAAAGGCTTTGTCTTAGGATAGGCCTGTTTTATAAAGGTGGGTGCTAGATTTAGACCCCTACATAAGGCGGAGGGTTAGTACGGCTGAGCTTCTGTGAAGGTAGCATGAAAGCCCCCAGAAATGGCAGAGTTAAAATCCTCCCCAGATTCTGAATTCTAAAGCTGATTAGTAAATAAGAACACAAGGGGTCTGATTCTCCAGAGACTCTGCTACTGTGCTTGGGACAGGGGTAGGGCAGGGCGGAAAAGGTGACTTTAAATCATCTTTGTGCAGCGTTCCATGTATTATGGAGCCATGCAAGCCCATTCCTAGTCCATGCTACAAGCTAGAGCACCCTCAGGACTGCACTAACTTACACACTGGTTCCCGTGGCCCCTAAGGGCCCAGAAAAGCAGAGAATACCTGTACTACAATTCTCCCAACACATCTCATACACTAGAAGCAGGGTCAGTGTGGAGCCAGATGCCAGCCCTGCGCCACCTGGAAACGCCCTCTGTCGAGGGGTATTCTCAGGGGACTGTTTCCATTCACTTTAAGGCCTTTTTCTAGTACCAGAGAGGCATAAAGGGGCCTGAATGTAACCTAAGGCCCAAATTTGGGTGGGGGGGGGATGTTTTGTGTCTTTTCCAGTTCTCCTGAATGTTTAAGCCACTGGGATGCCTTTAAAATGCTGCAACATATGGCAGAGATAGCCCTGGCCTGGCTGTCCCTTTTCTGACAACATCTCCATGTCTGCCACAGCAGGGCAGCCCTGACGGGAAGTTGTGCAAAGAGGTTAATTTTCACAGAACCCTGAAGTGGACCCTGGGGGGCAGGGCTTTGGACAGGAAAAAGCTAAATGTTTATACTGGCCGGGATTACAAATTCCACTATCCCCCTCCACCATCCCCAGCCAGGACTGGCCAAAGGGTTTTTTATCCAGCCCTGGAAACAGCCCCGACTAGTTTACAGAGAAGTTAATTAATTCTGTAGTGTCTGCAGCTGGAAGTTGAAACAGTTTGGTGGGGCTGACGATTTTCACTGTGTAACGAAGTAACAACCCCGATGAAAGGAAAACGCTGAAATCTCTTCAGGCTGTAGCTGGAGCATGCTGGCTTGCGTTCTTTTTTAATCTATCGAACAGTCTATGTCAAGCAACAATTCATAGACTCACAGGGCCAGGAGGGACCACAAGGTCTAAAACTCATCGAGTTGACACTAAATTTTCTAATCAAAAACAACTGAACTGTCTGAAAAAATCAACTGAATAGGAGTAGTCTAAAAAAGAAAAAACAAAAAACTTATTCATTTTCCTTGAAATCATGTCCACTGTGCAAGCCAGTTCAGACATAAAGCTCAGACAGAGGCTATGGCACATTTTACAGGATTTCTAGAAGGGAGCCATCGTCCATCCGAAATGGTCAAACGCTTAAAGGGCTGGCATCTGGAAACAGGAGCCACCACCCTCAAACGGGAGCAAGGTTAGCACGGGCCAGTGCTAACCAAGATGAGCCCAGGAGCACCCCCCTCCTCATATAATCTATTCCTAATGCTGTTTTGGGGGTGGGGGATGCATACAGGGTGTTGCCAGGGCCGGCTCTACTGTTTTTGCCGCCCCAAGCAGCGTGCCGAATTGCCGCCGCGGATGGCGGGAGCAGTCCGTGTGCCATTAGGGCGGCAAGCGCGTTTCCACGGCAGCGGTGATTCGGCGGCAGCTTCTGTCTTCAGCTGGAAGATCAGAAGCCGCCGAATTGCCGCCGCGGGCAGCTGAACATAGAAGTTGCCGCCACCGCGGAAACGCGCGTGTCGCTCTAATGGCACACGGACTGCCCCCGCCCTCTGTGGCAGCAATTTGGCGCACTGCTTGGAGCGGCAAAAACACACGGACTGCCGCCCCTTGCAGATTGCCGCCCCCAAGCACCTGCTTGGAATGCTGGTGCCTGGAGCCGGTCCTGGGTATTGCCATACCAATGAGCACACGGGCAGAGATATGCAGACCCCTGATCCTTTGCCAAGAATGACCCACAACTCCCTTCTGTGATTTCCACTGACGAATGGCTACCACTAAGAGAACTCATCTGTTTGTATTTGTCACCCTTCTCCCCCAGCCCCAGCCCCAACCCCCTCCCGCTCTTCTGCTGCCACTTTTCATGGTACCTCTTCACTTAGGTCCCACACGCATGGTGTCCACAGGATCAGGGCCCTAAGACTGCAAACTCTTTAGTGATGGGACTGTCGCTTTTTAAATTGTCTGTATGGCACCTACAATGGTCGTGGAGGCTCACGGTGAAATTTGCCTCCATATAGAGGGCTTGCATGAGGCTATGCACCACTTAACTCCTATTCTGGGTATTGAAATAGGACTCAAGTGGAGCCCAGGTTCTGCACTGACTCTCTCTCTTTATGAATATATAAAGCAATAATAATATCAGCATCTTGAATCACACCCAGAACCAAATAGGAACCTTACTCTACTTTATGATGATGCTGTGTAGAATGTTGTGATTCGTTAAGAGAATCTTGTTTGGAGTTTTACCTTCTCATTCTGAATCCTCTTTGCTCCAGAGAAAGTACTCAGGGTTCCTCACTCCCTTGATATCAACACAGGTTCCCGAAGGCTACCTTCCAAACATACAAACAGAAAAGTACAATGAGTTTCAGTTCTTAGTTCTAGGTTAGGCGAAATGAACTGTCTTAATACTGGGTTGGCTGCACAGGTGTGAGGACCATTGCGGTGTGACTAAACAAAGGCTCGGAACAAGAACTAAAGCAACATCATGCAACATGCTTTTGTGGAAATCTACACTGTTTCTTTCTCACCACCCATTTTTTAGAATTAGGCATGTGCATATCTTGCCATCGTTTCTCCAAAGCTGTGACCTTCCACACCTCACAACTTTTAGAGTGTACAAACTGCCTTTGCAATGAAAACAAGGATAGAAAAACCACAGAACATGGCTAATAGCCCTTATGCCTCTTACTAGTGTCTATAAACTAGTGGAGAGATGCCAAAGAGGCAACGTTTGGATCTGGATTTGGAACACTCCAAAGTTCGGGGATGTTTGGATCCAGAATTTTGGGTCAGCCCACTATAACGATAAAGCTAGTGAAATGCAGCTCCAGGTTCAAGATTGTTAATGCCACCCAAATGCAAGGGTTTGGATCCAATTCTTCTCCTGGACAAATTGCACAAGAAACGAAAAATACAGCATTCTCCACGTAGTTGGATTGTTTTAACAGCTCAGACTTTTGGATGCTCTTTCTTTGACAGCGCCTGGTCTGTAACAAAAGGGATCAGCTCCCCCAACCCTGCATCTCATGACAGAAGAGCCTAAAGGACTGAGGCCCTGTTAGCTTTACAGAACACACAAACCCAGAGCTGGAAAGCACAGCTGGATTATGTCAAACTGAAGACATTAAAGATCATGCCATAAGAAACAAAGAACGAATATTTGGCTTTCAAAAGTGGCAAACGCTAATTTTCTTCACCTGGGTAAGTTGATCCAGTGCTTTGAAACTGGAGAATCGTATTATGTGTGAGGCACAGAAGGTTGCTCTTAGGCGGCGATCACCTATGATTCGCCACATAAAACAATACATTCAGCAGAGAGCAATGTGCACATTCTTAGGGAAGCGCCCACCCAGATTGATTTTGACAGGAAATTTTTTCAGTCCAAAAATTTAAACCAGTTCGAATCACTAAAGCACCATAAGCATTTATAAGGCCATACTGTCATTTACAATAAGGCTCCTTTACATGACTCGGGAAATATAAAGGAGCCTTAAAACTTTTATCCTGGTTTTAAGACCTCTGTACGCTGCCAGAATGGTGCAAAGGGGCCTTAGTTTAAATGAGAATCAGGCCCAAATTGCTATATGAATAATACAAATATCCCGACTTTTTACTTACCTGGGGGACATCACGAACATGGAATTAACCCTGAAGAAATGCTGAACAGGATATACAAAGTTATAGCTTCTCAACTACCTTGTCTTTACTTTCCAGGCCCTTCACTGTCAGTCCCCACCGCCCCCATCATCTCTCCTTCATAACCAAGATTGTCTCTTCTTGGCCCATGATGCCAGCCTCCATTGCCCACTCGTTACAGTTTCAAAAAAAGCCCCATTGTGTTTTCTCCCGGGCTGCCCCTGCTGCTTGGGAGGAGCAAGGCAGATGGTAGATACTAAAGGGAGCTGTACTCCGTTTGTTCCGTTTTTGTTTGCCCAGCGACATGTTTCTTGGTCTTCAATTCTGCTATCAGGAGAGGGCACAAATAAGCACATTAAGCAATGCTGGGTGAATAACTGATTTTTTGGTTCGCTGGCACAGTTCCAGGGGGGTGGGGAGAACAGTGCTGGTCAAACAGAAACTGGAATGTTTGGGAAATCAAAAAAAGAGAAAAAAATGTTCTATTTGACCTGTAATGAAACGTTACATTTTGATTTGGGGCATTTTTAACCTTCTTTAATAAAAGTAAAGGAAATGAAGGTCTAGAGTCACAAAACCACGGGTGGTGGCACCCCCTCGTGCCCAATAGCTCAGTGGTTAGGGCACTCGCCTTGCTGGGGAGCAGGGAGGTGAATCCAAGTCTCCTTCCATTGCAGGTGAGTGATCTCACCACTGGGATATCGGCTATTCTGGGGTGGGGGCTCTCCCTCTCTCTCATTGAGGATTCTTTACTTTGTATAAAAGACTTGAATGGGCATTGTGCCAGAGAGCAAGTGAGAATGACTCTACGGCTCAGTGATTAGAGCACTCCGGCGGGGTGGGGGGAGACACACACACTCAGGTCCCTGCCCCAAAGAAAAATTTAATCATTTATACCACCTGGAACAGCTTCAACAGGAGAGATTCCCACCAGAGTACTCAACAGCCTGGTCATTAGATCACTCATCTACCTGGGAGGGGGAAGACCCAAGTTCTCGGGGGGAGGGATAGCTCAGTGGTTTGAGCATTGGCCTGCTAAACCCAGGGTTGTGAGTTCAATCCTTGAGGGGGCCACTTGGGGATCTGGGGCAAAATCAGTACTTGGTCCTGCTAGTGAAGGCAGGGGGCTGGACTTGATGACCTTTCAAGGTCCCTTCCAGTTCTAGGAGATGGGATATCTCCATTAATTTAATTTATAATAAGTGGAAAATATGTGCTTAACTTTAGGCAATATGTAGATAGATAGATATGTTTTAAGGAATAGGGATGCACA